CCCCGCCCAGCCCCTCCGCGCCGGCCGCCCGGCTCCCGGGTCCCCAGCCCTCCCGCCCCAGTCCTTGCAGTCAGGCCGGGGCCTGTAGACCGGGGCCTGGCCGCCCGCCTTCTCCAGAGCAGCCCACGCCCGGCAGGGCGTCGACTTACGCCGGGCCGCCGAGTACAAAGGACTGGGCGGGCCGCTCGGGATGCAGCCGGCGGCCGGGGGTTGTGAGCGGCCGCGTTGTGTGCCTCTGAGGACTGCAGCCCTCGTTTCCGGTAGAGCCCCCTCTTCTGGCTTTGCAGCCTGTTTCCTCCTGCTTGGGCATTGTTTTCTTAGACCTCTGGAGGTGGACCTTTCAAAACGGTGCCGCCCTCTCCCTTTTCACCCGTGGTTAGGCCGCGGGGACCGAGTAGGTCACTTGAGTGGGAGGGACAGCTCTGTTGCAGGGCAGTGTAAGGGATGGGTCAGAGCCCAGCTGAGGATTGGGATGCTCAGGCTCAAAAGGATTGACCTTAAAAGTCATTTAGCACACACCCCCTTCTAACCGCACTCTTGAGAGACTGAATGCTGGGAGTCGCAGGCCCCCAGAAGAGACTTGCTCAGGATCACATAAGAGCGAGCAAGGACCAGAATTTCAGGTCTGGCTCCTCACCAGTGGCTGTTGAGGGTGGGGTCCACAGGTTCACTGATGAACACTTAACAGTATGCCTTCAAGGTACCCGTCTTCCTCTTGACATTGCAGCGAGGAGAGGAGAAGGGTGGTGGTCTTAGCCCCGTTTTACAGCTGAGGAAAGGCCTCTGCAGTGAGGTGGTGGAGGAGAGAGATTGTGGTAAAGAGCTCAGACTTTAGAATTAGGCACACCTGGGTTTGAGCACAGGTCTTCGTTAGTTACGACCTTGGGCAAGTTACTTCACCAGTCTGCGTTTGTTATCTGTAAAATGGGCATTAAGAAAACCCAGCACAGCAGGAGGAGGAAGGGTGTGATCGAGTAAAGTGCCAGCTTATGGGAAGCTCTCCTTCAGCCGGGAACTCCGCCTCATCTTACTTTCCCCAAGAGACCCTGCCTGGCCCCAGAGCGTTCTCAGGCTGCTGGGAATTGATGTTAGAAAGTGGGGGGCGGGGGGGTGTTAGAGCTGAATGAGTACACCTTGGGGCAGGACACACCTTTGCCCCCTCATTTTAAAGATGAGAAAACTAGGGCTTGGGAGGGAAAGGACTTTGCCAAGACCGGTGGGGTAGAGCAGAGTGTTAAATGCAAACTTGCAGATTCCATGCCTGCTCTCCTGGTCCTGGCTGCTCTTGTCATTGGCCCAGCTGCCTGGCGTGGAGATAGCTAGGGCCCACTGTAATCCTTGGCTTGCTTCCTTCTTCCAGGTGTTAACTGTCTTGCTTATGATGAAGCCATCATGGCTCAGCAGGACCGAATTCAGCAAGAGGTGAGGGGCTGTGGCCAGTGGCCCTGTTGTGGGGAAGCATAGCCTGGGCCTGAGGCCTATTGTTTATCTCTACTTTGGAAGCCTCCTCCTCTCCGAGCTGTGCTAGGTACTGGATGTCTTGGGGAGGGGCGGGGCGTGGGGGGGGCTGTCACTGTGCCCCTGGGTGATTGCTCCAGCTCTCCGCCTTTAGGTGTTCTGGCTGTTAGGTGTGGGTCACTCCATCTGCGTGCCAGAGCGTGATGGGTTTCCTCCCTCCCTGCAGATTGCTGTGCAGAACCCCCTGGTCTCGGAGCGCCTGGAGCTTTCGGTCCTGTACAAGGAGTATGCTGAGGATGACAACATCTATCAACAGAAGATCAAGGTGGGAGCCTGGCTGAGGGGGCAGGAAGAGCCCTGGGGGTAGGGGCAGGAGTGTGCCTGCTTCAGACCCACTCCTTGCTGGCGGGGCCTCAGAGAGGGTAGCATGTTGGGGTAGCCCTCTGGTCGCTGGTTCTCAAGTGTGCAGACTCGGGAACTGAAAAGACCTTGATTCGTATCCTGACTCTGCCATACAGCAGCTGTATCCTCTGCAGGTCCTTCAGGGTCTCTGAGCTGTGGGGTCCTCTACTGTGAAATCAGAATAAAGAATGTATCTGCCCTGCGGTGGGGAGGGAGGGAGATGATGCCTGTGGGGCCTGGTGCAGGCTGGGTAGGGGCTGAGCGGCTGGGAGAGGCCAGTCCTGTGCCTGCCTCTGGGATCTTTGTGAGGGGTAGGCGGCACTGGGGCAGAGGGACCTGTGGACCTGTGCAAGGCCGGGCTCTCTCTCAGCCTGAGGTGAGACCCTTAACCACTCACTCTCTTTGGGAGCGGGGACAGTGGGTATGTGTAAATAGTGTCCAGTGGGCACAGCCTGAGGGCTTAGTAAATGTTATCTCCCCGCCCCGCCCCAAGATCAGAGATGCTTAGAGCCTTCCACCTGAAAGGAGGTGCCTTTGGGGTTATCCATATTGGGGGCCAGGGAGGTAGGTGATGGAAGGTGGCCGGGTTAGGTGGTGAACAGGGCACCACAGGGCGTCAGCCGGCACCAGGGAGCGGAAGCCCCGGGGGCAAATAGGAGTGTCCTTGCCTGTCGCTCCATTGTTTCTGGATCTGTTTTTCCACTGTAAGCTGGAAATAATGATTTTGACGTGAGTCTCCTGACTTCTGACAGTAGGCAGCTAGTTCAAAAGTAAAATGCTGTGTGATCCAACGGCACGCCCGCGGGCCAGATCCAGTGGCCTGGTCTCTACTCTGAGCAAGGGCTCAGAGTGTGTGTGATTGACCCAAGAGCACTGTAGAGCGCTGAAGGCACTGGCTTTGGGGCCTGACAGACCTGGGTTCAAGTTCTGGCTTCACTTCTGGCTGTGATTTTCGGCAACACACTGAATTTCTTGGAGCCTCTGTTGTTCTTCCTGCTGAGTCATTCAGCAAATGTCCGAGTGTCCACTGTGTTCTGTCTGTGCAGGAAGTCTGCCTTAGTGCCCCCACAGCCCTACTCTGTGCTGGGCCTCAGCCCACCTCTGCCTGGATCCTAAGCCTGGACAGCAGAGCCCAAGCAGACTTGGGTGATCTGCTCCTCTGTGAGGATTTAGGTTAGTGGGCACTGGCTGTCAGCAAAGGGCCTGGCACAGGGTAAGTGCTCGGAATGATTCTAGTAGCTTTTCCGGTAGCTACAACGATTTGGGCTCTTCGTATGCATCGTGTGATGTGATGGCCATTTGTGAGCACATGGTGTGGGCCAGGCACCGTTTTAGGTACCGGAGGCCGAGTGAGGAGCGCAGCCGACACGCTCCTGCCCCCACAAAGCCCGTGTCCTAGTGGGAAGACAGAGAATCAGGCAGAGGTACCTGGGGTGTAGATGTCAGAAGGCGGTAAGTGCTCTGGAGAAAAGTAAAGCAGGGAAAGGAGAGGGAGTGGGAGGGCGGGTGGAAGGCCTCGCCGGGAGGGTGGCGTTGGAGTGACAGACTGAAAGCAGCAGGGGAGCAGTCTGTGGGGGTGGGTGGAGCGGGGCAGGCTGAGGCCGGGGTGAGGTGGGGTGAGGTGCGCTGGGGGTTTGTGGCTGGAGCAGCACGGGGGAGCAGGAGGGCTGGGAGACGGGCACGTGGCCAGCGAGAGGAGTATTAGCAGATTTCTCTGGTTCCTCTGGCTGCTGGAGCAGGGACACCTGGGAGGAGGCCTGGAGGAGGGGGTGACTGGGACTGGAGTGCCAGAGGGTAGTGAGAAGCCGTGGAGAAGAGACTTGGTGGATTGAAGCCTTTGGATCTGGCTTGGATTGGTGGGGGCGGGGGGTGGGCAGGGGCTGCGGGCGGTGGACAGGTTTTGGTTTGAACAGCTGAGGGGCCGCGCCTTGCAGTTGCCCCAGGGGTGGGCTGTGAGGAGAGGGGGCCTGTGGGGGTCAGGACGCGCCCCATCGGGCTGGGCAGCTCAGACAGGACAAGCAGTGGAGACACTTGGATGGGAGTTAGTGGGAGTTGACGGTGGAGATGGGGCAGGTGAAGAGGTACATTTGGGGCTATTGGAATCCCAAGAGCAGCGGTGGTACGGGAGTGAGTGCGGTTGACCCGCGGAAGCTGTCCCAGGCCTGAGCGGGGTGGTGCCCTTCCCATGGCAGGTGCCGTGGATGGGGGTGTGGTGTGCAGGTGACGCGTGGTGTCTTGAGGAAGGGTGCTGGGTGGTTTGGTGGCGGCCCTGACCCTCACAGGTTGAAAGGACGAGGAGGACACGGCGAGGCTGGGGCCTACAAGCTGTGTGAAGGACAGTATGGACGAGGAGGGTGTGTGGGGGGGTCATGTGGTGGGAGGCATCCCCTCTCCTCATGGTGAATGCTGTGCGGAGCGGCCAGTCTGGGGAGGAGTAGGCTTGGCCCTTGGATTGAGGAAAGGCAGGCGTGGCCTTGACTAGAGTGAAAGCCCGCTTGGGGCGAGTTAGTGGAAGAGAAATGGAGACTGTGAGCACAGACGACGGCCAGAGCAGTTTCGCTATAAAGGAGAGAAATGGGGTGGTAGCTGGAAAGGAATTCATGTGAAGCAGAGGATTTTTTTAAGCAAGAACTAGCCTTGTGTTTGTATGCTGATGAGTCTAAACCAGTAGGGAGAGAAAAACTGATGATGCAGGAGGGAGGGGGAGGCTTCCTGGAACAATGTCCTTGAGTCCAAGGGAGGGGACCGGCTCTCAGGCGGACCAGAGGGGGGCCCAGTGGAGCCTCAGCCCCTCCGGGGAGCAGGAGAGAAGGCTGCGGCGGGTGTGCTGGCCGGGGCTCAGGTTCTTCGTGAAAGTCCTCAGGAAGGAAGCGAGGTCACTGGGAAGGTGGGTAGGGGGTTAAGGAGAATGCGGGAGGCCTGCTCGGCGCATGCGTGGGGGAGGTTGGCCAGACGGAGGAAATGGCCCTGCGTGTGGTGAGGGAGGCAGAGCTGGGCCAGAGCAGGGGCCTGTGAGCGGGCGGGGCCGGGTGTAGGGGACCGGGGAGGCTGTGTCCCCGGTGGGAACTGCCCTGTGGAGCCCAGCCCTGCAGCCCCATCCTGACTTGTTTCCCTGGACTCACATGGTTTGAAAGACTGCTCTCTGGAAAAGCTGTGTCGGACCAGCACGGATCCGTTTGCCCATTTTTAGGAAGAAATAGCCCCGTGGGCCCAGCAGCCTGGCATGCCCCGGGCCTGGTGAGGACACTGGTGCCCCCAGCAGCCCGTGTGTGCCTAAGTCCCAGGGTCCTGAGGCTGCTGGGGCTCCGGCCAGTGGGTCACGAAGTGACTCCCATCCCCGGAGTCCGCGGCCAAGGATGGCAGGTGGCTGCTGTGGTATGACCTCTGTCGGGGGCAGGGGGGGTTCCCCTGGCCCACCCTGGTTCTGGCCTGATGTTGACAGGCATGGGGGTGGGGCGGGTGGGGGCTGTCTCTTTGCAGGACCTCCACAAAAAGTACTCATACATCCGCAAGACCAGGCCCGACGGAAACTGCTTCTACCGAGCTTTCGGATTCTCGCACTTGGAGGCGCTGCTGGACGACAGCAAGGAATTGCAGCGGTGAGGCTGGTGGGCGCAGCGGGGGTTCCAGGAGCGCCACACGGGGCTTCCTCGCTCAGGGCTCCCTCCCGCTCTCGGGACTAGGGGGTGCAGCCCCCGACTAAGGCCCGACGCCGGCTGGGCTCCTGCTCTGGTGTTCCGTTCTGAGCTGGGGATGCCCCCCGCCCGCCGCCGTGTTGGCCGGTTCCCCAGTTCTGGGCCCGCCTCCCCACTGCCCGGCCAGCCCATGCCCACCTCCCTTGCCCACCCACCCACAGGTTTAAGGCCGTGTCTGCCAAGAGCAAAGAGGACCTGGTGTCCCAGGGCTTCACCGAGTTCACAATCGAGGATTTCCACAACACGGTGAGCCCGGCTG